AAAAAATCATGAAATATGTATTGTTATGCGTTGTGTTATATTTTCTGTAGCGTGCCAAGGAAATATAACATACCGTTAATCATATTCGCTTTATTACATGAGCGCGCCGATAAAATCTGAATCAATAACAATGCCTCTCCGCGTTTGCATGTTTCAGTAATTTCTAATTTCGAGTGGGGTATTATGCGCATGGCCAACGGACTCCAAAAGGCCGGTAATTCAGGAAAATACTGCGTTTTTGAATACGGAATAAATGAATATCAACGACCTGAATTTCGTAAATAGAATTGTAAGTCATATTTTTCACGTGGAATGATTCATTTGCGGATTAAACAAGTTCGAAGTGCAATAGCAATAAAAAACACGCATGTGAAGTTGTGATACACATCAATAACGTGTTATTTAATGCAATACAAATTACACACTTTAAAACAATTTGTATTTTAATATTTTAATTAAAAATAGAATTTGTATTGCGGATTTAATTTATATTCGATAAGGCTCAAATTTTGAGGTTGTTAACTCAATGCAGGCATACCTCATGCTACGCTGCAGTATCAACTCACACCGACACGATTCCCTCCATCTGACCCTTTGGGCGCACACTACCACTACGAAACACATTCAGTCACACACGTAACATGTCTCTAGTGCTAACAAAGGGGGAAAGAATTCACACCGACACGCGGCATTCTGCTCAACTCCACGCGCACTCACTAAACATGTCCAAACATGTCGAAACACGAACGTCTTTGACTCGTCCCCCTTATTATACATACTTTCACTAACTGCCACTACACAAACAACCTTGACGATTTATTACCAATAACTGCATCCTAACGACATCTCTAGTCAAAATATACAACTAAATTTTATTACTGGAATCTCAATGTACAATAACACCAACAAAACTTGTTTTCATCAAAATATTTACACGCGTAGCTCTGCATGGATATCGCATAAGAATGATAGCACTACAAATTGAATGTTTATCTTGACGGCGCACGCCGAAAGCGGAATACGAGATGCGTCGAACGCCTGCGGCATCAATGTCCTCGTTAAAGGAAAAGGTTGCGCGCGCGCGGAATCGATCAATGTAGATCATTAAACTCCAACAGAAGTGTGGCCTTTGTGGGATGATTAGATGGGTCAAATAGATATCAAGGGATATCACGAGCGACTTTAAAGAATGTTTGCGGAGCAATACAGAAGCCATTCGATTCAAAGGTCCCTCGTGAATTGGTCCCACACACAAACACACACACACAGAGCGAGTTAATGGCTTCCTCGCAAATTAAGTTTTTCCGTCATTTCCTTTTGATTTTTGTGCGCTTGAAGCGCTCCTTCTTTTCATCATGACAATTAACTAAAGTTTTGTTTTTTTGTTTGTTTGTTTTGTGTGTGAAGAATTCAATCGAAAATTGATTACGATAATTGCCCAGACGTATTTTACACATGTCAGCACTTTAATCATTAATTTAATTTTCTCCACAGCGAAACAAAAACAAATTTCGTATCGTGTTGTGGAAATCTCGCACAGATTGCAGAATTGGATGAATATTCGTTAATTTGCTTGGCGGAAAAGTTTTTGATTTTCTTTGCGCTCTGCAATTGCATTCTGTTTGTAATTAGTGCGCCGCACACAGATGAATGTGGAGTTGGGCAACAATGTGAGCGCGGCGCGCACAGGATAAAGGTCCTTTTCCAATCCTAATCCACTCCCACCGCACCACTGCTTGTACTGCATGTTGCAAAACAGCGCGCACGCCTTCGGATTACTCAACACTATTGTTGAATTTAATTAACATGCAAATTCTACATTGCCGGTCGACAATCATACGCCGATGCACACAGGATACGCCATAAATAGGACGTTGTTGCGCGTTACGCACACGAGCGTTCATCGATCCGCTTGTTATCTTGTCCGGGATGAAGATCGCGCGGCGGGGATGATAAATGCGTGACGCGCTGAAAAGGTGCAATGTTTCAATTTAGCCCGTGTACGCTATCGTATTCCAGCGCCATCATGATGTGTGTTACTGGAAAATGATTTTAAGCAGGAAATCGGTGCTATTTATGTGTGTTACCTCTTCACGCATCAACCACTCAACCAATTTTGATAAATTTTGGAGTGGAGATAGGTTAGATACAGGAGAAGAATATAAGATATTGTTGGATGAAAAAATATATGTATTAAAGGGGTGAAATAAGGGTTGAAAGTGAAAAAAACGCAAAAAGTAAGTTTTTCACGATTTTTCTTAATAATTTTTACTGTTTACTACAGAACCAAGATAGTTCGTGTTTGAATGTAGAAAATTTATTGATGATTGTGTGTTACCTTTTCACAGGCAAACCACTTAACCAAATTTAATAAATTTTGGTGTAGAGGTAGTTTAGACATAAGACAAGAATATAAGATGCCGCTTGACCGAAAAATATAAGTATTAAGGGGTGAAATAATGGTTGAAGGAAAAAAAACTGAAAAAACACAATTTTTCAGAATATTTTTTGCATTTTACCTTTTCACGTCTAAATAACTCAACCAATTTTAACAATTTTTTGCATAATGATATTTTAACCATAGAAAAGAACATAGACTACTTTTAATGCAAAATATAACTGTAAAAGCATGAAATAAGGGATGAAAAGGGCAAAAATGTTTTAAAAAACGATTTCCTCACTACTTTCTTTACATTTTACGTTTCTCTTCACCGCAAAACCGAAAAATCAGTGCATATTCGAGCGTCACTTTTGTTACGTGCCGGCATGACATTCTGTTTACACAGCGGCCGTGCTCACTCAACGCGAACCACTCGGGAGCACACGGATTCAACCAACCTCCGCAAGAAATAGAGACAAAATCCAGAATTCGCAAGCACATCGCTTTCTTTTCCCCCAACTCCACGCCAACAAAATCGCATGCGACGTAATCATAAGACGGAATAAACTTTCCTCCAAGCACTCTCCAACTTCGGTGGCATGTCGAAATCTGCTTTTAATTTTTACAACGCTTATTTATTTTATTACGCGTTAAAGCACCCTTTTTCTCTCATCTTTTCATCCTGTTTTCTGTGAAAGTCAAATTTTGACTCGACTAATAAACTTTGTTATTAAAATATCCCGGGCGTCATTCACCGGCGAAAGTGTAATAAATCTTGAAAGTGACAATTTTTCTGCAAGACCCATGACGATGATTAATCGATGCGCTCGCGTGCGCCCGATAATTAACAAAAATGAGGCACTCGTCGCTAATTGCGAACGTCGATCAGATCGAGTGCATTATTAATAACGCCATTCAAATTCGCCGGCGACAAATCGATGCGGCGATAAATTCGAATGCGTTTGCTTTTGGCACTATGTTTGCGGGCGGTGGTAAATGACCGAAAGCAACTGCCGGGCGGTTATAATTTAATGCAAATTCATCTGTCAAATTTATTAAGTTTATGCGATGTTTATGCACGCTGTAATGGTCTCCGAAGTGAAGTCGCAATATTTAACTGGGTAGTAGTCGTGTTGATTTAATTTCAGCGCGAGTAACTACAGAGGCCATTTCCTCGCCTCGAGACACCAAGATGGAAGGCAATTTCCTCCATTGCTACAGAGTGATACAAGAATTTATGTAAATAAAATTTATTTTTTGTTTCTATGTAAAAGAGAATTTTTGTTGAACATATGAGGTGATTATTTCATAATGGCGCAGGGGTGGTTAAGTGTAGGTAGTTATGTATATGGATGGCGTAATTAATTACGCACACCGTCATTACGACCGCAACTGACTGGTCGCGTACGCTGCGCCCGCCCGTCCTCGATCCGTTGGCCTGGTGCCTGGATGTCTACCAGGCTGCAGGGCGACTGCAGGCGGTGTCATGCACCGGCCGGACGGCCAATGCGTTCGGAACACAATTACAAGTGACGCTTGACAAGGTTAACATTAATTAAGAATGGAATTAAACACTTACATGCTGTCGGATGATGATATGAGTAAGTTTTGATAGGTGATATTTGTTTTACCTCTGTTTTAAGCCCTTTTGAGGCTTTCTTTGCAATAAAAAGTAGCCTATGTTATTCTTTAATATTAAAACTATTTCTTCGCAAAATTTTATTAAAATTTGTTGAGTGGTTTAGGCGTGAAACGGGAACATACACTATAATTTTTATTTTTTTATAAAATGATATCTAATACTAGTAATATAGAAAAACGTTTTAGCTATTTTAGCAAAATTAGTAATATTGATGTTTCACCCTTGTTTTAACCCCTTTAAAATTATATTTTTGCCATAAAAAGTATCCTATGTTATTCTCCAATGTCTAAACTATCACCACACAAAAATTCATCAATTTTTCTCCAATAGTTTAGCCGTGAAACGAACAAACACATACTTTTTCAAAATTTCTCTTTTTCTATAAAAATCATATCCAAACATACTAATGAAGTAAAACTTTTGGCTGTGCTTTGGTTCGCTTCTGCCGAATTGCTTTCTTTGCCCGAATTGGTGTCGCGAACGTGCCTCGACGTTAGCGTTTTCCTGTCAGGAGGACGTGTCGAGCATCAGTTAGGTCGGCGCGTTTTGCCATAATAGCGCAGCGAGTAGTTCCTCCCGAAAGTGTTATTCTTGTTTGGCGCGGACGAGGCGATCGAGTGAACTTATTGCGAAAACAAGCTCCAAACCTCGAGATCCCACCGCGGCTTTTTGCTGCGCGCTGAATTTGAACGCCATAACTAACCGACACGCTGGCCTCGGACACATACACACACATTGTCAACACTCACTGTGCCTGCGTGAGTGGATGGTGTTGCGGCGAGCGGCGCCCAAGTTTAATTCGGATAATTCATAAGCAAATTCCCAATTCAAGCTGTTCCAAACGCGATAAGCCGCCTGCGGCCCTTATAATACTATCTAGTTACCACTAGTTACCACTCACCAGTATTATATTATTAAAATAAATTAAGCTTTATTCAAAAAATGAAGAAAAAATGTGTTTTCGTAATTGGTACTTACCGATGACGGTAAGATTGACATGCGTAATGCTATTCGGCGATCTGGAGAACTGCACATGACACTGATAGACGTCCTCGTCGGTGAGGCGTATGGGGGCGACGGTGAGCGTGGCCTTCTCGCCGTCGGCGAGCCGCAGAAAGTAACGATCCCCAAGGGATGGTTCGGCCCAGTGCTGGGGCCGGCCTTCGCGCAGATCGTACCGATAAAAGGGACTGTCCGAATTGCCGCGATACCACAGCACCACGTTGACGCGGTCCAGCGGATGCCCAGCCGCCAGGTTACACGGCAGCGAGGCGGTGCCGCCCTCGGTCGCTTCGGCGATCTCAGCGGCAATATCACCCGCCGCCAGCAACGCGCACTGCCACGCGATCACCGCCAAAGTCCAGCACATCGCCGCCATCGCGATACTAAAATTTATTTTCGTTTAACTTCGTTGTATACAGTCAATTACTACACCATCACGCATCTCGGCGAAAATCCAGGAAATCTTCGTATTCACACCCAACATTTATAATATCTGAAAACTATAATAAATTTAATTAATAAAACAAATCCAACAAGTCGTATTATATTACTAAATAATTAAATATCGAGTCGATTTAAATTAATACCGAGTGGAAATCGCATTAAAGCGGCGCTTAGCGATGTCAATTAAAAAGTCGTCGGGGTGTAAATTATGTTAAAATTTAAAAATCCCATTTTACGGACAAAAAAGTATCCATCAAACTTGGGCAATTAGCAAAAGTTACGCACCGTGTCTCTTTCCCCTTGGTATTTTTCACCCTCCAATTAAATTTTCGATCTTTCTGCCTCGCCAAACAGTTATTTAATTATCAAACGTATGTCGCACAATCCAAAACTCAAAAACACACATAAGAGAATTAATTAAATACCTTATTCAATTATCACATATACACATATTATGTCCTTGAGGAGTTAATACCTAATGTTTATGATTATTTCACTAAATCACTAAACAGGTAACGTCCGGTTAATGCGAGTAATAAAATTTATTGAATGTCCGCACAATTGGCACACAGATGGAAGATGGAAACCGCGCGTTACGTATCTTTTCAGGGCCGCGCGCGCGTTGAGCAAGTGAGCAGCCAACGCGGGTGCGGGTGGCAGAGAGTAGGAGAGCGGTGGTGGTCCACACGCGCGTTGAACACCACACGACCGGGACGTGTACGTGCGGATCGTCAGTGCGGCACGCGACTGCTCCGATCCCGGTGGATGCCTGGCCACTGCAGGAGAGACTCCGCCCGGAAAACAACCCCTGAATCACGAACGCGCCCGAATGCGACGCGAACCCACCCGAAGCCCGGAAATAACCGGCGGAAAAACTACACGACGTCGACGCCGTCGTCGGTACGAAATGACGATCACCAAGGAGGACATCGTCAGGCTGCTGGTAATATTTAGATTCGTTTTTTTTATTTTAATCTCTCCTCTAACACCTATGTTGCATAAAATATATTTTTATTATTAAATTATAATCCCTGGCTCCCGGTTTTGCTACAGCCGCAGCCGCGTCTCGGCGTTGTCATGGCAACAAGTTACCCGGTCACGTTTCGTAAACCTGTCTTGACCTGCGAACGTCTATCTTTCCTGCGGCGTGGCATATGGACGCAAGCCTGAACTCGCACGTTCGATCTCTGATAATTGTTGGCACTTGTGCACGCTGGCGATTTCCACTCAGCTACGTGTTTAGAAATACGCCGCGCAACTCCGAAGCAATCGGTAGTAGTAATGTCGGGAGCTCGAACGCTAACGACTGGATATTATCCCGAACACTCTAATTCCACAAGATGCTGGTATCGAGCAGGCGGGGTTTTGTACTGCGGATCTTTTAAAACACGTCGATGCGGCGATTAAGTGGAATATTCACTCTGTCACTTCGATGCGTGTTCGACTCGTTTATCCGATTTATGCAAATCTGATTGTTTACATTGGCGCGTTATTGCAAATACATCGACTGTGTGCTCGGCGCAAATATCCTTCCGTTTGTGTTAATCATTCACAACACACGTTTTTTGCTGTGTGTCGTTTTTATTTGTGTTTGTTTTTGTTTATTTTTTCTATTTTCATGGTTTTTAGACACAAAAAGTGGAAATTTTATCACGGACAACTAAAACCGTGATTAAAGTACTTTAGTCATGGGGTGAAGCTTGCGCCTGCGCATTTGCCTGGCTGTATTTGATTTCAAGTGCGTGCGCGAACTCCCATGTATTCATAACCTTACATTTCCCCGTAGTATGCAAACAAACTACAAAATTTTAAAATAAAAAGTTCAAATTCAACCCAAAACATAAAAATAAAATAAAAGTATAAAAAATATCATAAGCACGTGATTAAAGTGCCTCTTAGCACACTTGATACTTAATACCTCATTAAAAAAGCGTAGTTTATTATTAAAGTTGTACGTTAACTCAATTTATGAATTTCTCACCAATTGGACGTTGATGAATTGGTCAACATAATTCCGGCCGTATGTTGTGCGCAGTTGTATAAGTTTTAATTAAAGACTTGCAATATCTATTATGTGGCGGCAGTTCGCTACAAATTCGAGTTTGTTTTGCTCCACGCGCGGAAACTAAACAAATTATAAATTGCCGCTATAATTAGTCGTGTGCTTCAATTTGCTGCGCGCAGCTTATACAAATACCGAATTCAAAACAATAAATGCAATCATAATAAGATACGTGATTTCACATTCAGTGCTGCAATTTGAGTTTATTTATTATTTCGGCCAACTTCATCAATAAGTGTCTTAAATTCAATTTATTAACTCGATATCAATCAATTATATTATTATAATCAAATTAATATTTGTAATAAAAACATTTCAAAACATTTTTATTTCAATATTTTTGTTAATTCTGTCAAATTAAAATTTTTGGTTGATATTTTAGGTTTTTGCATTTGGTTCATTGAATATTTAATTAAACATTTCATTGAAGCTTTGCAATGAAAGCCCAAAACTTGTTTCAAATATTACCAGTGCCGCTTTGGCAGCATATTCTTAATAACCTTACATAACCTCAATTCAAATCTACTTTTTTTCACTAAATTTTTATTAAATGAATTTTACAAATATTTTAACTGTTATTTTGCTGACCAAGACAAAAAAATTTAAAAAAACTGAAAAATTTGTATAAAAATTGTTTTTTATGCTATTTTAGTTAAAAAAATTGTTTCTCGACAGATTTTTGTTTATTTATTATTCATACATATAATAAGGTTAATCCTGATTACAAAACGCGTGCAAATTTGATTTGTCCCAAATTTTTTTATTACTCTAATTGTTTACATCCCCGAGAACATCAGGTTTCAAGAATACAATTTCCAAAGCTAATGAACAACGCGCCGCGCGTCCGGAAATAAAATATCACGCGAAATTTGCATAAAATTACCCGCTGGCACTTCTTGTTTTTCTTTTGTGTTGTAATATTCCACACACAACCCACCGTCGGTTTCATTAACCAAAAATCTGCACGTTTCCATTCAGCATCCGACTTCCGGTGTGATCGTCATGTCTCCTCCCATTTATCTATACCAGTTGTTTTTTGCTTGCAATGCATTTTAATTAAATTTAAGTTTGTTCTGTGATGTATTCGCGCGATTACATTAGTAGCGGTGTACCCACCCATGGGTGGGTGCGGGCCTATCTTGATATAAATTCTAATAAACACCCCTTTTGTAGCATTTTGTTTGGTTATGGTTTTTCCATGCAAATTCCCGAATTGCGTCCCTCCTTCGGTTATCCACCTCGTCGTTTACAGCCTGGCACGTGGCGCACGCCTGATGAGCAGTATCAATTCGTAGCGACCCTCCTCGACCGGGGGTTGTAATGCACAAGGGTGGCGAGTATGACTCACATGCGTATTCATCGCAGTGTGTTTACATTTACACTGCACACGTTGAAACTCTTGACTGAATAATTAATCAGATACCTTTGCCTTCGAGACCTCTTGTCGTGTTGTACATGATTTTTGATGGACTTTAGGGGATGAAATTCAAAAAAACATACTTCTTGGAATATTTCGGAAGCTTTCCCTCCGAATAACTTTCATCGTGATGTAATTTTTGTGGTGTTCTTGGTTTTCATAAAGCTTCGACAACATCTGCTGTCAAATCATAAGCGCTTGGAATTCGTGTAATGTTTGAGAGCGCGCGCGCGGCGCAATAAAAGCGCTAGTGTTGTGTAAGTGCGCAAGTTTAACAAGATATAATAACTTTTTCCCTTAATGCAAGAGAGCGGAGCAGCGCACTGCTTCCACCCCTCCTGGCTACCTAAACATCACCCGCCCTGCGTTTTCCTCTCGGTTTATCTAACAAGTGCGATTTAAAGCGGTTGCGGCGAGACGTGACGATCGAGTCGACGCCGCATCGGCTTAGAACTACTTGTTCTCGTATTTTACACGCTAACAACTAGAGGATCATCGCGAAATAAACCAGCGACACTGTAGATGGAAAAAACAGACTTAAAATAAAATTTTCGGAAGCAGGAGAGCGAAAAATAAAAAATAAACCGGATTAAATTCCACGCGTCGCGAGCAGCGCGAGCTTTGTGTCGGATTTATACTTTAATCAATATTTTATGAAAGATGCAAATTATAATTTCAAATTTTTAATGTAATTTCTCTCCATGCTCAAATCCTCACGAGATTTCAGTTATTTTAAACCAAAATAAAATTAAAAACTTTTTGCTCAATATTTTTCTATTAAATGTGCAGGAGGATAATTATAAATCGTCATTTGACGAAACCAGCATGGAAACATTCAACATCCTAATACCGATATGTGCGTGTGACTGCAAAAGCAACGCCAGCGTGAAGAATGGCGCGTTCTTAGCAGCGACGTTCAAATGTATCGGAATTGGATGGGCCATCCACGCTCTGCGGATAAAAGACTCAGGTGACTCACTAACTTATTTCATCGCTTCAATGATCTCACTTTTTACGTTTCCTTTTCCCCACTCGTCCGCGCAGAGGGTCGTGATAGAGTGAGGGCATTCCTCGCACTCGCCGGAAAGTTACGACGCCGTGGATTTCAGCATCTCGTCGAAGCGGAAAACATAATCAGAGCGCATTTGACTGATCTCTAGACTATACTCCATTATAACAACATGTATTTTTCTAAATAAACTTTTTATACTTGAAGTAGCGTTGCAACTCCAGCCAACACCCACTTGGATTGTTTTTCTCTAGTTTTGAGGTTAAACGTCCACACATACGTGCATCCTCTCTCGCGTGTTTTGTACACAGGGCATTCGTAAGTATGTCGCAAATCCTGCTTATCTTGCGTAATGGCCCGCAAATAAACAACCGGAAGCATTGGTGATAGTTCTTTCAAGATGGCGTCCGCGATGACTCCGTGTTGGATATCCCAGCGTGCGCCCTCTATGTATAAGCCGTGTATGTTTGCGCCCTCTTTGGGTGCACTGGAGATGTCATCGCGTTGCTTCCTGGTGACTTCCGTCTGCAGACACATCTTGTCTAACGGCCACTCATTCCGTCTCGCCATTTGCTGCATGATGGCGGTGAGAAAGGATTGCGGATTAAACAAGCCGCCCAGCCAGACGGAACTCGGCACCGAAAAGTCGCTCGTCCAATTTTCCAACTCCTTAATTCGCATATTCAAATCAGCACACCATTGACCTAATGGCAGTAAGCTCGGATAAGCCGCCTCGGCCCAGGCGTGCGGTACTTTGTCCAAAAACAATTCACCCTCGAGCATTTCCATGTCGGGCGTGATGGTCAGCTCGCCTTTGAGGCCCAGCCCGAGCTCTTTCAGCGACGTACGAATAACTCCGGCGAGCGCATTCATACGCTCACACTCCTGCAGGCAGACAATGACGTACGGCGTGCGGTCTTCCACCTTCCCCAACATCTCCTTTATACTGAACGCTTCCGGCAGCTTCTCTAATATGTCGTCCAGTGTTGAACGGACCTTCTCCTCGCGTGACATGCCCACGCCACTGGCGATCGCCAAGTTCGCCGACTGCATCTCGAATATAGTCTTGAACATCACTTCCGATGTGCCGGTAAGAAACCCGATTTCCGCATTCGGGTGCAAGCCGTACAAGTACGGTGACTCCGGAGGCAAGTGCTCATCAACGTAACGATGATAACCCGCGTAGTCAGTATTGGTCGGAGCTCTAAATCCAGGCGCGTAATACAACTCCCCATCTAGAAGCAATGGCTGCATATACTCCAACAGGTAATTCCTGCAAAGGCGGCGATCCCAATCATCAGTGATGTGCCCGCCGTACATTATTTCACCGAACAGGTATCTCAGATCCTCCCACGGCACTTTGCTATTGTTCTCCAAGTAATTATAAAGGACGTTAACGCTTATTGTAAGGTCGCCGATGTTAAACGGATAGTCCCGGTTCCAGCCCTGCGGGCCAAACTTCCTCCGCTCCGCAACCACCGCATGGAAGTAACAGAGGGAGAAAAGGATCGCGCGGAATTCCACTTCTTTCGTGCACATCTCCAAACTTTCCTGGCTGAAATTATCTAGGGCCTTGTGTAAATTAGCCAACATTCCTGTTGGGGACTCGTTGGTGATTTTAATTGACGATTCTAGGATACCCTGTGGTAACACATTCGCCGCAGGGTCAGCACTCATGTATAACCTATAGTCCGCATGTGATTTCTCTGATTGTTGTTCAATTTTTTTCTCTAAAGTTGGTAACCATTTCTCAACCAAGTGAATATTTTGTAACATCGCCCAATGTCCCAAAGTGGCACATCGATCGATAGTTGATTCCGCAATCGCCTCCTGGCCCTGTCCCAACGCAACCGCACAAAAATTACCTTTGTCGAATGTGTACCCCAGTCGCTGGCCCAAACTAGAAACATCCGATAGAGGATTCACACCTGGCGAGAGAATAAATAATATCGGCGTGGAGTTGCTCGTCTCCTCGTAGGATTGCTCGAAGGGAATCGTTCGCGCCTGAACAAACTTAGCTCCGAGCTTCTCCTCAATGAAAGCCCGCACGGCATACGTCATCCGATCCGGGCGTAGACATCGCATAATACATAATCTTTGCAACGCACTTTTATTTTTCCACTCCCCGGGGAGCTTGTCCTTTTCGGGACATTCGCTGTCGACGAATTTACGCCAGCGCTTGAGCGAGTGCTCAATGTCCTTATCCAAACCACGAAAGCCTTCCATCGTGGACAAAGCCTTCACACCGCCCCACAATACATTCGATAAGAAATCATACGGAGATGTGAGATTCGTCGTGACAGGAAAACGCAGCAAAAAGTCCAGCTCCACGGGGGATATCTCTTTGTTATAGACGAGGATCTGTATCGTCATTTGGGCGAGGAAGATTAATTTGTCGCGTTCGAACAACCCGCGACTGGTGTACATACACACACCGTAGGTGATGCTGTCGAGGAGATTGTTCACACGCTGTTTGATACCATCGCCCGGCCGGGCAACACTCAGAGACTTCTTAAACACAGACGTGAAGGCTTTTAACGAAAACTGGTAGATCGAGTTGATACGATTGAGATCGTTGAGGATGAAATAGAGTAGAGAGGCCCGCGCTGATGCAGGCCGGTATTGCTCGCGCGCCTCATCGATTTTCGCCGATGTCACTTTTGCCTCGGCGGCCTTCACTGAGATATCCGCAGCTGTGCTCTTTGTTGTTTCTAGGTTAGTCACAAGTGTGACATCTCCGAGGATATTCCCCGTCGCCGAAGACAATCTTTCAAGCAGGTTATCTTCACACGTCTTCAAAGTGATTTTGAAATCATTTTGTTGTTTGGTTAACAAGGCTTTCGATGTTTCCAAGTTGGGGCATTCAGCTTTGACCACTTCAGCTAATAATTGCTCCTCAAGACCACTTCGGGTAACAGTAAAGTTAATCAAAGTAGTTTGGGCTTGTATCTCGGGTTTGTAATGTGGGTTGCTCAACTTTGTTTGAATGATCAGTTTGAATCTCGGATCGTAATCAACTTCTTTATCTCCAATTTTGATCAGTTTACCCTTTTTGACCAAAACACGACTTAGAATTGGGTCTAGGACCCCATCGATTGTCTCCCCGATGTTTTCTAGTAAAACAATATTACCTAGTGATACACATCGTTCAATTGTGTCAAGATAATTCCTGGTTCCAAGGCGGATCACTACCAGGTCATCAGCGTACCGATTCTTAATCCACTTGATGCCCTGTAATTGCGGATCGATCATCAGTGGCCATCGTGCAGTGTTCGACAATATCGTCGCATTCTCCGAGGACATGCGGTCGGTGGGCAGACCTTCGTTGTTCCAGTTGGCAATTACAGCGTCGTCGGTTAACAATGTCAGCGGGTCCAACCCCTCAGTCATCGGCACGGATGGTGCCAGCTCACCGAGATATGGAATCCAGTGCTTGTTAATCAATTCCGCGCGGTATTTCCGCGTGAAGCAGCCGACGTAGGACACAAATGCGGTAACAAGCAGCACGTCGCCAGGTAGCTTGTGAATGGACGCCTTAAAGCGACCGACTGAGTCTCGCCATCGTAGGTTCTCCGAAGCGAGACCATTAATTAGACGCCGCGCGAGATTAATCATCGTGGCCGTCGTGTCCGCCTCCACCTGACACTTTAGTTTCGCATCAATCGCCTCCTCGTACTCCCCGCGTAGTGCCGATAATTGTTTCTCCAATTGCTGGAGTTTTTCTTTGAGGTCCCGCAGCGTCTGTCTGGCGCACTTCAACTCCGAGACAGCTTTTTGTAGAGCTTTACGCTTGGGTTCCACAACTAGGTAGATATCATAGTATCGCATTATATTGATTACCCAAGCGCATAAACCTGCAGCCGCAATGGACTTGGTCAGAATCTTGTTCGGTTCAAATTCTGGGTCGTTTACGTACGGCAGGACGGCTTTTACAACGTCCGCGTGGATGTTCTCCTTATCATAACACAACAAATCATTGAGGAACTGATCCACTTTACCCATGAGCATTTTGCACGCCTTCCAGCTACGATCTTTGGGTATCTTACCGCGTTTGGCGAAGAGTACTAAAACGGCAGCGCACACGTTTACTACCGCGTCAGGTGGACTGCCGAAGGACTTTAACTCGGTTAAATTGCCTTTATTGAGCGTGTTCAGTGCTTCCATCGCCGCCTCGAGCGCTGGCTCCGCTTTGCGCAAATCCTCCTCGCACATTTTTGCTTTTATGGCGACGTCTTCCTCGATGATTTTTACTTTCGCCTCTTCGTCACTGGCCAACGCTTGCTCTCGAGCGACTGTCTCATTTTCAGCTCTCAAAATTTTAATCAGTTTATCAGCGGCTTCATTCTTCCTACTCAATTCCACTTCCTGAACAGCCAATACCTCTTGAAGCGCATCCACTTCACTCGATGTTGATTTAAGCTTCATCAAGCCGTTCTCAAGCCGGAGGATATTTTGTTTCAACGCAAGTGTTTTGCTCGACAACAACTTGGCATACAGCGCGATTTGTTCGAGAAATGTTTTCGGCGTCGTGTAATTGTATCGCTTCTCACATAACAAAAAGGTTTGCGAGACCCGGTTTACGATGATGTGCACAAACGACATGAATTCCGAAGCCGATCCCACGTAAGCCGTGGGCAGCGTATTAATTTCAGCGAGGAAGCGTCTCGATACATTCAATAATGCTTCTTTCGGCCAATCGTGAAACCAATTAATGGCGGTGCAATTAATAATCGCCGGAAACTTGCGCGCACGGATCCGCAGCGTTGAACCAACCGGTGAAAAACACAATACGACTTTGATTAATTTACGCACTTTGTCTACATAGAACTTCCAACAGTTCTCCCTTGAATCCGATAGTCCAGCAGCTTTAACCTCACTTTTTAGAAGTGCAACCATCTCCTCTGTTTCGTCCTCAGTCAACAAGTCGGGAATCTCACCGGATGCTAACATATAATTAACCAAAACCAAAAATTCTTCATCGGCAACTTGTGAGTCTGTCATCAGAAACGCAGTGCTCACGTTTTTCATCCCAGCTTTCAGATACAAGCCGGCAATGTCCAACTTTAAATCGTTGATGGAGTAGCCCTTTTTCAGCTGGACCTGCGCCACGTCCAGGGACGCTATGAAAGCTGCCAGCCGCGTGAGCGATTGTTTTCCAGTTCCGCCCACACCAATAAGCAGAAGGTTGCCGCGCGGGCCTTCCAGGATGCGATTTATGCGACAAATATGATTCATTGCATCCTCGAACAGCACCAGGTTCATCGCAGCAACAAGATCGTTGTAGCTCGCTTGTGCTTCCGACAGCAATTTGTTCAACCGCTCATAGTTGAATATCTGTAGATATTTTGGATCGCCAATACCGTCGGCAAAATGACAAAATATCAACGGTTTCTGCATCACATTTCCTTCGTCAAACTCCTCGAAGGTTTTCTTGGCGATTTCATTCAACGCCTTGGTGAATCCATCGAGGTCCTTATAGCTGACCATTTTATCGCCGTACACACGCATGGATTCATGCATCCACAACCGGATAAAATCCGTATTGCATGCGATAGCGTCAGCAGTGGTAAAGAGCATGCCCTGGAAGACGTTCGACAAGTCTCGTAAGTTAAATATGTAGTGGAACTTGACAGCGGTGGGCAAGAAATTCGTGCAAACTTTCTGATGCAGCGCCAGGGCTGCCTCGACGATGCTGGCGCATAATTTATTAACGACGGCGTTAAAACGCCCCGCGAGCAAATGTTGTTTTAAAATCGTCGCGTAGATGGCGAAGAGCGCGTCGCCGGCTGGTGGGTTTAATGAGAACACGCAGAAGTGTCTCTGCAGGCGCGGATCGATGGTAAACGAACCGGCAGTGGGATTCATGCACGACACGTACTGCACGTTCTGGATTTCTTTCAATGACAACTTCTGCCTGTCGTACCAGTGCTGATAATCGATATGCTGCCGAAGTAAAGTGTGCGGTTGGACGGTAAAGTATTTATCTACTTCGGGCATATTCATATCATCAATAAAATACACCATTTGTTTATTTCCGGGTGGACCATACACGCGTCCCGCTTTTTTTTCAAGTGGTTTCTCTAAAATTTTCTGTAACATTTCCGAAGTTGTATAAAAATTAAACGGAACATTTGTGACTTGATATTGTTCAGGTAGCGACGCAAGTTTTTTCGCTATCAAGACACTTTTCCCACAACCGGAAGGACCGATTAACATACAAGGAATTTTCTTCTTCATTAAATGATCAAGGAAAAATCGTATGCGGCGTGTTTCCATCGTGTCAACCAAAGTAACCTGAAGCGGAATTTCTGCGTTTAGTTCGAATTTATCGATGAGATTCGACCAGGGCGCAAAAAGTTTCGTTTTGTCGTCGACGTAATAATCAAAAACGCATCCGTTGTGCGGAAATCGTACGGCTTTGTATTCGTGAGTGAACCATTTGCTGAATTCCGCCCGCCAGTCGACTTGATCCTGGAATAATGACGAGCCAAACGCCCACACGACGCAAAAAACGAAATAAATCTCGTACCACTCGCGCGGACAATCCAGCGGTACGTTCTCCGGAGTGAGAAAGCAATCCAATAAGTGACAGAGCATAGATAAATGCGTGACATCAACAAGTGGCGTGATTTTCTTAAATTTCACCTCGAGCACTTCCATGCAAGACGGCACATATTTATCAAACATCGAGGATAAAAGTGTGCGTTCCGTTGGATTAACTCTCGTGTCCAGCCATGAAGTAACATAAGGATTCCAACCAAGATCTTTAGGGTTAATGTAGAGTATTCCTGCTCGGGAGACTGTCGCTGGTGTAGCTGTACGTAAATTTGCAATTTCGAAAATCAGCCGCATGTGTGGTGTTAGGGAAATGCGTTCGTTGCTCGCCAAAGTCAACACTTTGTTGTCATCCATCAGCGTGTTGAGCGATTCGATCCACATGGGATCAATGTCACCATCGAGCACTATCCACCTGGGTGAATTCCCGGCTAGATTCACTTGTTCGCGCATAATCGCCGAAAACAACCCGTCTCGCCACTCGCGCGTCGACGGATTAATCACACCAAATAGTTCGTCGTTCGTCACCGCCTTGGGGTTCAAATCATTATACACCGGTCGCCGTTTTTGATTCGCATAGGTCTTAAACAACGTCTTCCACACGGCGGATTTACCTGTACCAGCAAAGCCAATAATAAACACGGAATGTCTAACTTCGAATAATTCCTCGAGTTGTACAACTTTCAACACGAATCCATCCTCGGCTTGCAGGCGTAGATCCGCGCTGGACTTTTTCACCAACTTCTCAAAGTCGGCATCGCGTTTACGCGGCACATCGAGCGCCGGAAAGAGGTCGCGAATCAGGCCCATGAATATGGGCACGTCGTCGGTGATGATTTTCGGTATGTTAAAATCGCGCAGCGCTCTCATTAGCACTTGATCTTCGGGTCTTTGTCGGTCGCCCCTTTTCAGCGCGCCGGCGACGACGAGCACCGATTTGATTGCACGCAGGCCCCAATCGTAGTGGTCCTGCTTGCTCAGCAGTTCTCTACACAGCGTGTACAAAGTGATAAATTTACGCGCCAGGACGCGCGCGTCTTGAAAACCTTCGGCCACCAACATTATCTCGCATATTAGCTCAAAGTCAGGCACAACCATCGCACAGGGCCGAAACAACGCTTTTAAATTCTCGGGTAATTCCGTGCGACCCGCATACCCAGGATTCATCGTGATGAAAATACCAACCTGTAAATAAAATTGTTTTAAAACATTCACAACGAAAATTCCACGCTTACAGTATCGACGAGTTGAATTTCTTCCTCGAGGAACCAGAAGCGCACGTCGCGGTGTTTGATCGCGTCCTGAATCGTTTTCACTTGAACAGCGACGACGGAGAGCACTTCGACCGATATTCGATTAAACTCATCGAAGCAACCCCACGTGCCAGTCTGCACTAATCCTTTATAAATATTGCCGACCGATTTGTAATCCATTTGCTCCGAACAATTGAATACGTAAACCATAATTCCCAACGCCTTGCCGAGATCTTTCGTCGTCTCCGTCTTACCTGTACCCGCCGGACCAGCAGGCGCACCACCCATCACCAAATGCAAACTCTGCGTGAGAGTTATGTAGCAGCGATCGGTGAGAGGGGTGATCACCAACCTCGGAGTGTTGCCCAAGTATTCGTACTGATATCGGATCTGCGCGTCGCATATATTTCCGCCGCAGTCCTCCAGATACAAGTCCCAATGATGGCGCAATTGACTTTGCCACTGGAATGCCTGAGCGTTCTCAACTTTCATCGCTATCAACTTATTAATCACGTCCCGGGAGTGTACATCTATCGTACAAATGGTCATAATCTTCTGTCGGTCACCAGGATCCAACTCTCCCAATAAATGTGAAATTAGTGTATTCAATTGACTGATTTGTTTCTTGTTGTAATCTTTCAACGCGTTTTCATAACCTTCTTCGAGTTTACTGAAAGCAATATTGGTTTCGGTTGACCACCAGATTTGGATACAAACAAGGGCGACTTGTGCGGGATATTCATAGATCCATGTTTCTCTTGTGCGTTCTTCATATGTCCTAACACCTTCTTTGAATAAGTTTTTTAAGGTTATGCGCATGGTGTCTATGAGTGATCCTAACCAAATCTCAACTTTTCCCGCACAAACACAAACAGAATGAAAATCAACCCTTTCCTCATTCTCCTTCGAAAACATGGCCGTCGCACGTTTATCACTATTCCCCCCCGCCTGAGAGAAACTCAATTTCGCTAATGAATCGAACAGCTTGGTTAAATGCCGCTGAATCAAATCCGGATGATTGCCATTACTTAGAATGTCAAGCAAGTCGGCCGATGATAAGAAATAGAATCTCGGGAACGCCAGCCGCTTCGTCTCCAAATAATCATTCAGCGCTTTCTCGCACTGAATCAGATCAGCAAGAAGACGTTCCAGCTGCTCGTAGAATCCCGGCGTGTTCGTCGCGCGTAATATGTTGGGTTGATTATGCATGCGTCGCAGAATGCGTTTGAATTTTGCGTCGATGTCGTCGAAACGCAGTGAATCGGCCGACAATTGGCTGCGTATGTCCTCTGAACCGATGAAAATTGATTCCAAGTAACCCCATTTGCGTTGCACGTCGAGAAAGACAGCTATCACTTGATCGATGTTCGATAATTTCTTCTGCCAGTCAGTAATTTCGTTGTAAAAGAATTCGATAAACTTAGAACTGAGCATATTCTGTAACTGCACTTGATGATCTTCCAGAATTTCAATTAGTTCTTCGGGGATGAGGAGGATATCGATTTGAGTTCGGTCATGGACCTCAAAGTCAAAGTTTTTCGTGGACCAGGTTTCTTCCAGGTCACGGATTGTTTTTTCCATTGTAACTTCTTTGATTGATTTGTCTACAATGTTTCGGACTTCGTCTTCGTATTCATGTAGACGTAGAGCTAAGAGGTCATTCAAGGTGGTTGTAGGGTCCATAACAAACTTAACCTGGTAAAATTTTGATTTTTTGATTTTTTTACAAAGAAAAATGGGAAAATGATGAAATAAATGATTGCGAATGATGAATGATGAGTTTTATTTCTAAATGTTATGATTACTTACTGTATAATAAGATTGGTTCAACCCAGGGGTCTATCAAAAGAAGTTTTTTAAGTTTTTTATTTTTGAGGTTAGAATTTTGGTACCTTAATAGTTTTCATAAGTTGATTCCAATGTCTTTCCCGAATGGAAGGATTCTGTAACTCAGTGACAGCTCTCAATGAGGTTAACATATTCTTCAGATTCGCTTCCATTTGAAGATAAACATCCCAGGTCCTAAGTTCCTTATCCATCGCGCGTAGATCCTTCCCGAATTTCTTGCAGTCCATGTCCATGGCCTCTACATCAATGCGTTTCCACGGCGTGTGTTTCCATTCATCTATCCACGAGTTACACATGACGACATAGTCCCACAGCTCTTTCAACAACCGCAATTCTCTCCTCGTCGCCGCCACATGCTTGAACTCAGGAATCTGCAATTCGAATAACCTTCCCTGCTCTCGCAACTTATCCACGCCGGCTTCCAACGCATTCAACTCCGCATGGCATTTGTCCAGTTGCTTATACAACTCCTCGCAATCATAATAAAATATCCGCAGTTCCTTAAAGTGCTCTCTATACATCGCCTGGCGCAGATCGAAAAGTGATAGATTCTTACGAATTGAATTCACTTGACTCGCCTGCAACGGCGCCATGATCTGTTTCGTGACGGCGGCGACCTTCTTGCAGTTGTCCCACATCTCCGGCAGTTCCTGCAGGCGAACACAAACCGCCTCGGGAAAGTCAACGTCGTAATAAGTGAGCAGATCGATAATCATGCGCAGCGGCTGGAACATATTGTCTGTGATCAGCTGGCGTTCTTTGATCTTCGATAGACAACTCATGATACGTATGAGTAGATCAGCGTCGTCGACGACCACCGGCTGAGCGATGAGCTCGACCGCTGTGTGGATAAACTGCTCTAATTCTGCAATGCCGTTGATCACGCAGTCGTGCAGATGCTGCTTGAAAACATGCGCCCATTTATTTATCGCGTTCATCAGCGATTGCTTCAGCGGGCGCGTGTCGAGCAGCATCCAGCCGTGGAGCACGCGCGTGTCGTCAAACCCGTCGACCTTTGCGAGCAGCGTCTCGAAGTAGGAAATTTGCTCCTTGAACAACTCCAGAGTCGGTGTATGCGTCTGCATCTCACCGTTTACGTTCAATTGCGGCCAATCCTCGACGGTAATGATGCGCGCGTATTTCAGAAAATGTTTCAAGTGCTCCTCGCGATCCGCCAGCCAAAGGCATTTGTAGTCATTGAAGTGTGTCAGATATTCAAGGATGTGCGCGTTCATAGACTTGCATCGCGATCGAATCACATTGCTCATTTTTTGAACTTCGCCGTCGGCGCAAATCGTGTTACTACACGTGTCATCAGTTAATTTATTCGTCATCGAGTAGATTTCCGTGAGGATTTTTTCAACGCATGCGAGGAAGTTGTCGGGCGCGTTTTCGCGCAAAGATGGCAATCCTTCAATTTGCCCGTCGTGGAAATCGATTGTTATGCAAAAGAGCGGATTAGCATTCGTGGTGATATCCATTTCGTAAATGAAGAAGCTCAAATTCAATCGCGTCGCGTCCAAAAAGATCGCCGATATTCGTTTGTGGAAGTTTTGCAGATACGCGAGCCACTTTTCATCGCGCATCGCACGCTCCGCGTACACTTGATCATAAAAACCGCGAAAAGCGTTGTAATTCTCAAACTTCACAAGCGATAATTCCGATTTAAACTTTGTACGCTTCACGTGCACTTCATCCATTTTCTGGAATAGAATAATTGTATTAATTAAAAAAAACTGATTTTTGAGTCATGATTTGTTTGAGTCATGATTGTGGAAATGAATAATTGTTCAGAAAACTTCACGGAGTCACATCTGTCATTATAATTAATAGTGTCTTTTTTGCAAGTCGCCGGATAACTGAGAATAAATGATGTGTTTTGTCCCAGTTCTTTTTCCCAACTCCTACTGGTTGCTTTTTAAAGAAAGACTTACTTTTAAAAATATCAACTCAGCACTCACCTCAATGTTCGACGTCGGCAGGGGATGTTATAAAGCAGAACAAAATTTGTCTTCAACATCATGTCAAGTTCTTTGCTGAGCGATTCAATGGTCTTATAACGTTTGTTGACTTCTTCGTCGCGATTGAAAAGTGAAAGAATCTCCGAACTTTTTGGATCATTCCGGCCGAAAATACTTTTTAGCGTTGCATTTTCCAAAGACTTTTCAAAACTTTTTATATATTTATCTACTGATATCTTACGATCGTATAATATTTTAACCATTGCATGCACTTTTTTAACTTCATCTAAATCTGTAAAAAAAATCATTTTTAGTTTTTAATGAATAGTTTGTGATTAAAATGATTAATATTATTACTGTTAGTCTCCCATGTTAATGCACTTCCGGCCCTGGTAAAATCCGCCTCAATTGTTCTCAATTCTTCGCTAATAATCTCAATCTCCTGCGCACTGACAACTTTCCGAATATGATTATAACACTGGACGCACTCGCTTAAAACTTGCAAAGTGCGCGTCAATTCATCATAACGTTCATAAATCACGCGCGCTTCCTCACCGAGTCGATCCAAACACTCAAAATCTTGCGCGTGCTTCAACTCTTTCAAAAGCCGCCGAAAACCAGCGTCGACATTAACGATCCACCCCTGCTCGGCGTTCGCGAGTATCGAATTCCGAACACTCTTCTCGACGATCGCAGGAATCGCCAGCAACCACTTGTTAACGGCGTCTGTTTCGTCCGCAATTAACATGCGCACCAGTGCCTCGCCGCCGCGGATTAATTCCTCCGCCATCGGAGTGTCAGTCTCTTCATTAGCCACTTCTCTGAAATCCCTCAAATGCTTCTCTGTCCTGCGTCGTAATTGACGCAGCCAGCGTGGATAATTCAACCGGTTATAATCCTCGTCCGTTTGTTTTGCCGTTGTTGCGTATAAGCTACGGACGACGTTCAGCTCGTCCTCGAGCATCAGTATCATCTTTTTGTAATGAGGTCGGAGTTGAGTCTGGATTACCTCGCGTTCGGCGAACACGCCTAGAACTTGCACGAACTTGTAGCAGGCTTCCAGATTTGGGCATTCGGCGAACGCGCATACAAAGATGGTTGCAAGTCGATTGTCAAAATCATTGCAGGATTCAACAAAACTATTGTAATCACGATAAATTGCAGTATCATCAAGATCCAGGACGTTGTACTGCACATTTTGGAAGCTTAGATATTTAGTTAGAAACTCGTCATGAATCTGTACGATATTTTTTGTTAAAACTCCACCTTTGCTGCCTCCCAACTCAATTTTTTCTAATTTATTAAAAATTAAAGATGTTTTGATAAGATTTTCTACTAATTTTAAACGTTCCTGAAAGTGAAATAATCTTGTAAATAAAGAAGCAGTTGAATATTGCCAGGCGGCCATTTCCCGAGCGATTTTATCCTTGACAATTTCATAAACTTTCAAGAACAACTCAATAGCAACTGAAGATTGCTCAATTTTCTGTATAGTTTCCTCCACATCGCCCATAAACAACGTATACGGATTTAATGTCCTAATGGCGGCTTGTATTAAAGAATTGGCGACTTCCTGAAACAATCCACCAACACGTTCGTTGCTCCTGTAATATTTACACTCTCGCCACAATAAGCCGATGCAATGCACCAGCGGTCCAATGTGCGGTAATAAATCAATAATGCTCAACTCGTCAAACTTTGCAAAATGATCCTTGAGACCTGTCATAAAATACGCGATTTCTTTCGCCTCTAGGATACCGCTCACTAATAATTTAAATGTGTTGTGGAATTCCTCCAGGTACGCAGAGTGCCATAATTCTGCATAGGCTAGCAATTCAATGGCGTCGTGCATTTTGAGTTGCCTATAGATGTTGTTCAGGTTGTCTACACGGCGTGCCCAAAAGCACAACTCTTGCATCGGGCCCGGATATTGATTATTTTCGAACAGCGATTGAGGGCTGGCTTTGAGGATGTTTGTTATGATTGTACACCATTTGGCGATGTAGGAGTCGATGAGCGCCTTTAATGCCACATCATCTTCCAATATTTCATTGCGTTGGAAACGCTCGGCGGATTCCTTGATTGAATTCACCTCGTGTGGCAGTGGAAGCAGTGTTATTCCGTCTAAGGAGCCTTTCATCTGTCGAAATTAATTGTGTCATTATCAAAATTTATGTTTGTTTTGTAATATACCTGATATAATGCTGAATTAAATTCGTTTAGTTGTTTGTCAACGTTTTCCTGCATAATCGGCGGCCATTGCTTCGCCTCAATTTGAGTTTTGATCAAAGGAAAGAGCACTTCTTCGTTGAGGGCGACTAATGTATTGGTGAGTTCGTTGGATAGATCACCGAAAATCAAACTCTCGGCGGGGAAAAGTTTGTGGACCACTCCCGGTGAGCGCTTGACAAAATAACAATTTTTTGCGCCCTGAATTGAAAGCACTCCGGCTAAAATCGTGTCCACAATCAACGTGCCATTAAAATTGATTGTGATAAACAACGCCTGATGGGCGTCCTTTTCCAAAAAGTCGACAACGTTACGCTGGAATACATTTTGAATTAAAAACAAAACAAAATAAACAAAATATTCACGCAGATAATAAAATTTTACATTGTATTCGTCCGTCTGCAGCATGCGCGCCCACTTGTCGGGTTTTATTTTCATGCTCTTTGTTACATAATTACACAAAAATATCATCCGCGCGTCTTCGTCGTAACGGCCTCGTTCCTCCAATGGCGCAGCGTTTCCGTTTGCCGTGCCACCGGCGGCCGTTGCGACTTCCCCGCCACTGGTGCGGCGCGCATTGTCTGGCTCGCAACACAATTGAAAATTTTCGGCCGCCGCGTCCGCGCCACTTTGTTCGTGCCGGTGTTTACTGAGTCGGCGATCCCGGCGGTTTTTACGCCGTCCGCCGGATTCGGCCATCACCGCTCCCGGTGGCGCGCTAAGTACTACCAACTGTAATGCATGAATTTAGTCCTCGTGAACGCATTTCCACGCCTAACGCCTCGACGTGTCGGATAAACAATTAAAATCGACGCCTAGCAACCACTTCCTGTTCGGTGGTGCCTCAGAAATCGATACTTTTTGATATCTTCCGACATTAATTACAACCACAGATAAATAAAAAGTATTTCTAGGAAATCATGTAAACAGCAACTGGGTAATTATTAATAAAAGCTTAATGGACGTTCATCGCATGAAAAATAATCTCCCAATACAATAATCCTCCCTCTGGTTTTAATTATTTCTCGATGGTCATCGCGATGATCTCTCTCAGTGCCTAATCGTTTATTGATTGCCGAAAGTGATGTAATTTCATTCGCCAGCCACACATTATGATTTAGAGCCACGCAAAGCACCGTGGCAATCGAGCAGGTGCTCCAACACCGACGCATAAAAGCGCGCTTCTCCGTCGCTCGCTGTCCTGTTGATTCGCCGAGTGCCACGAAGATCTCGCCACCTGCCGAATATAAAAAAATCATCATGGGTACGTATACGCCGCGGACAGGCAACGCTAGGTGTGGTCACTTAGCGTTGACGCGTGAAAACAAGCGCGCTTGTATTGTATTCGAAACTATTGTCTGCGCGGATGATTGATTCCACTTGACAACTTGACTCAGGCGAAAATTACCCGCATTAAGCACTTTCCTGCTGCAAAACCAAAGATATCTAGGTTTTGTAGTTGTTTTTTATTGAACGCATGTCAAGCAAATCGAGTTTCGGCGAAAAATCAGATTAAAATCCACTCGGCACAATTCTGTCAACCAGATTTTGATGTCCGCATCAAAACTTCGATTGATCACAGCATAGTATTTAGCAAGTTTCCATCTTCTCATATAAATTGAAATTTATTTACAAAAATGAATTCAATGAGTACAAAGTTGAAACAAAACCTTTTTCTGTCTGTATTTGTGATGATTACAATCTTATGTTGTTTATGTTTTAGTTGGAACAAAAGTAATTGTCTTCACAAGCATTTTGTGCATGCTGCTCATTTCTGAAATAGAAATGGTGCCGGTTGACTCAACAGATGAATGCATTTTCAACTGTTATCAGTGCTACAGCAAAGGCAACTTGGTGGACTGTGCCAATGACTGTATTCTAATGGAGGGCAATGTCAATGACTTCTGGGCCAAGTGCAAATATTTCGACAGTGAACCAAAAGTGTACAGCATTTAATAATACTTAATAACTAAACCGAATCGCCGCCTTATGTTCTTACCCAACATGTGTATTAAACCAGTATAATAAAAATCTTATTTCTGAACACCCAACATAGTCTGTCGGATGTTTGTCAATAGAAACTTAAAACATTTCATTCAAAACTTTAATAAAATACTTGTTATTCTGCCTTGGTTTTTGTCTTGGGCTTCTTTAATTTTTTTAGACCATCAAGGTTGCCCTTTAACAAACTACTATAAGCTACTTGAAATTTATTGATATCTCGCTGGTGCACCACTGTGGCAATCTTCTTTGTTCTTGATTTTGCTCTTATAAGACACATGTACTCTGTTGGTTCGGGTAATGGAGGTCTGCCAGCTCGAGGGGTTGGTTTATTGTGTCCATCATCTATATAACATTGCAAATATATGAATTCACTGATTAATTAGTAGAATAGTGTGATATACTTACGTCTTTTGAACGTCATGCTTACTGATCCAGTAGTTCTCGACTTTTGAAACATTTTTGTTAACTCTGTAAGAAACTGCACATGTCAGAGGTTAGAATGATGTTTGATGCGTTTTGAGGTGGTTTCGAGCGGTATACTTACTGCGTCGTTTTCTAATAATACCATTATGCTTGTTTTGCGGGTAAAAGTGCTAGGGTTTATACAAATTCATATAAATTGCTTGAAAATATGTTAGAAACGTTCGCGGAGGAACAACATGTATAAAATTGTGTTGACAGGAAAGTGTCGTGTTGTGAAGTTGGTGCGCGATATTGCCAGCGCATATAAGAACCACGTTACAAACTTAATAATTATACTAAACTAGAATATAGAGAATATAGACAATATTAATGATAAATAATATTAGTTTTAATATACAATAGCTTGGAAGCAAGATATTTTCTAAACAATGTTCTTTCAGACAAAATCGTTGAAAATATAATACTAAAATCAGACATTGTATTGCCCTCTATAGATGTATATCAATCAATTCAAATTTTGTTCACCACCAGAAGATGGCGCTATTTATTATTATATCTTTAAACAAATTAAAACAATGTTGTATTATTACTAAACACTGGAAATTAAAAATATTTGGATAATAATATTATACATTAATGCAATTCTTAGGAATAATATACAATTTAACACCCTAAGATGCTCAAAACATCAAAAATTTACCCAACTTTTGTTATTAAATTAAATTTTTTATTGTAAAGACAAAAATAGCGCGAAAACATCTGAAAATATTTCAACCTCCTGAAACATTCTGCGATCCTAATACCCAAAACTTCTCAAAATTGTGTTGAAATAAATTTTCTAACACAAATAAAATTTACATTAAATTCATTACATTCGATCTTATTAACAAATTATTAATAGAACAATAGCACCTAGAAAAATATATTATTACCTACATTACACCTCGGCAAAATCAACAATTGTAATTAATCACTTCTATTTCCCGTAAATATAAAACAGGTTCATGTAAACAAGAAAAAACAATCAAATCCAATAACAATGTTGACAGGAACACGCTTATGACGGGAATTAGTATCTCATTATTAACCATAACAATTCAGTCACACAACGGCAACATGGCAAACCACAGAACAAAACTTATTCAACTTTTATATCTCATTTTTATTAATATTAACATTAACATTCATGGAAAAAAAATTGAGTTAGATAATATTGTAAAGAGAGAATCCTGCGTGTATTTAATCAGTGATGAGAATGAGTATATTATCTCAAATTCTATAATGAAAAACATAACAACACAAAACGCTTTCATTACATTCAATTCATCTTTATTTTATAGTCTGAAGAATATAGATAATGAAACATATTGCTCCCCAAGTAGTTATGTAATAATATTTGAAAAACAAGAAGATATACAACAAATAAATAAAAATATTTTATTTTTAAAACCTCATACAACACTGATTTCTGTATATCCAGAAAAATTTAATATTCTGCAATTAAAAGAAATTTGTTTTAAAAGATTTATTCAATTAATTAATGTTTACATTACAAAAATGAAAGTCTATCAACAAAAAAAGCATTCAACATATCAAACATCAAATAACAGACATAGAAAAAATAAAACAGAAAATATTACTTGGGATAGAAAACCTCTAATAGCTTTATGGTTCAACTACACCCCGTACATCTACATGAAAAACCAAAACATGCAAGGATTTGAATCAAAAATCTTAACATACATCACAAAACAAATGACTTTAACCTACGTAGAATACACTACATGGACAGAAGAACTAATAGCCCTGGCTAATAACACCGCAGACATATCAGCAACTGGTCATTGGATGTCTCACATCCTGGAAACAGGAGCAGACGTTACCGTTCAATATGCTTCGGTTTCCATGACATTTTTAGTTCCACGACCGAGAGTGATATCTTCACTGACTTATGTATATCACACACTCTCTTCTACAGTTTGGATATGCTTAATCCTCCTAGTCTGTATATATTCTATAATACTACAAATAATCAACAAATGGTTACTGAACAGTGCAAGTAACTATAATTTTTTATTGTTATAATAAGTGGTTTGTCAATGTCACCCACAACGTTTTCTTCACCATGGACAATCATAAGATTCTTAATGTTATTATGGACTATCACATCCATCATCCTTACCACTTCGTATTCTGCTCGATTATCATCAAATGGATTGATTCCACGAATGTCTAAACCGATTGAAACCATGTCTGATTTGGTTGAAGCTAATATTCCTTGCTGTATCAGAGATCCTTATGTTTTAGGCCTGTTAAATACTTCCAGTTCTAAGGAGACTCGAGAAGTTGCAAATCATGTGGTTATGAGTAAAACAGGAAGATATGGTGAGTGTCAAGAAATTGTTGTTCTTGAGGAAAGGACTATCATTCCAACGTATCCTAATAAGACAGATGTTGAGAAACTTATGATGTTTAACGATAAGTTTCTGGATACTTATAATGCAGTTGCCCTGGCGAAAAATTCTCCATACAAAAAGGTGTTTAATGAGAGGTTGAATCAGTTGACGGAGCATGGGTTTATTATGAAATGGATCCGGGATGAAAAATCGATGACTCTGCAAACTGATGATTTCAGAGGATCGTATCGGAGAGTTGCCACAGGGATTGTGAAGCTGTCCATGGCTAAAATGCAAGGGGCTTTTATTTTGTTGATTGTTGGATATGGAATTTCTGTTGGAGCTTTGATATGTGAATATTTCAAACAAAGACATACGATTTTATAGTTTGTTAATGTAAATATTGAGTTTTTGTTGTATTAAAGTTTCTTTGTGGGTAAATATTTTTAGGTTATGCTTGATTTGGGATTTATTTGTGTAGAGTTTATAGAGGTTGTAAAATAAGATGATCATAACCTATATTATACACTGTTGACTGTATTATGATTTAATTATATCTGGTTTTTTTATAAACAAAATGGATTGCGGAGGGGCAATGAATTAAAAATATCAAAATGTTTAGGTAAACGTTTAAGAATTCTATTAAACAAAACTTGCGGTAATAATTTATTTTCTACACTTCCCAAAACTAATAATGGCGTATTAGAAGTATTCACTTTTCAAATGCAAAACCCAACAACCAGATAAGTAAATTAATAACTAATTAACAAACAATATCAAGCAAGTGGTATATATGTAAAAATTCATATTGTTGTTTTTTTCCTTAGATTTTTATTGGTTGTATTTCTTCTGAATGCTGAAATAGATGTCTTCAAGTTAGAGTATTTCCGAAAATCATCAAGGAATATTGATGCTACTTTATACAAAGCATGAAACTGACTCTGGAACAAACCACGAACAAAATGAATACAATGTCTAATTTGTTTTTGATTTATCGGTTACCTGATCAGTAACAAATTGAGATCGATGATTGCGTATATTGCGCACACTTGTGCACACATCGACCACTTGTTCCGACTCCATGCTATCCAAGAGATTACATGCAGCAATATACAAACCACATGCTGATGCACCATTTCTAAAATTATTATTATTATAACGTTTTGTAATATTATAAATAATTTATAGTAATTAATTAACCTGCACATCACTACAACACTACTGAATTCTTCACATTTCGTTCTTTTCATCTGAAGTCGAGTTGACAGTAAAACTCGTAAATCAACCGGCACTGCCTGTTCCACTTTCCATCCTACAACTTCTATTAAGTTTGTTTCTATTTTCTTAATTGGTGTTCCATTGGGTTTTACAAACAAAGTATGCATGTGAAGATCGGGTAGTTTCACAATTTTCAGATGTTCAATTGAAGTTCCATTTGGTGTTTGGAAGTCACCACCATTGTTCCAAAATTCAACCTGAAATTAAAAGCAAATTAAACACTTTATTAATATACTTGTACTTCTGTAATTTACATCATATTCTGGTTGTAGGGATATAACCAGCTTCACATTATTATCAACTATCATTCGCCAAAAATCATCGACGGTGTTGGTGAGAGGATGTTGAGTGACAATAAACTGTTTCGACTGTTGGTAACCATCAACAAAAATCGCATTGATGTAACACGATTCTTTCTCATAAAGAGGACGCAGAAATACACAACATGACGGATGTGGAATTATATCCTGATCTCGATTCTTGTCTTTTTGTTGTAGAACAGGACAGATCCTTCAAGTCGCAGCACACTCTCCTGCCACATCGAATCTGTTATCATTTTCATTTGTTCCGACAAAGCAGCATCGTTAAGGTTGCGAAAATGAGCACTGAATGTGTTGCAAGGGTACGCATAGTGTGGGGTGGCAAGATACTTGACTAGAATAAGATGCACCAAAAAGTAATCTTCAACATTGTCCATAATGTTAGGTCGTTGAGAATGAAGCAATTGGAAATGATGAAAAATGTCTACTTGGCCATCAAGCTCAGCTTGCCTCAAACAGATATCCACTAGAATTATTACACTTGCACAATTTGCATACCCTCCAACGTCATGCACCAAAATAGGATATTTAGAAGAATGCGGAATTGTCTCAAGACATTGAAGGAATGAGGTGAGATGATTCGGGTTCATAGGTATCCCTCGTTTTGACCAATTGGTGAAGTGTAAGATACGCAACAGTGTTGTATGTGTGCCCCTAGTCGCTTTCATGTTATACACCTTATAGGTGTACTTTACCTCTACTGATTGAGTGGATATTTCTATATCTTGGAATGATATTGTTTTGTTTTCTGGATAATCTGGCCAATATTGAAAAAGGTTTTTCTGTAAATACAAATTTCGAATGTGGGTAGAACATAATTTACAATTAGGTATAACTGTTGTAAATACCTTTTTTAAATCAATAGGGGTAGCAAATAAAATAATGTATTTTACACTTTCTGCAACGATCATCCGCCAAAATTGGTAAACATTATCGGATGTTGGAGCCAAACACATAATGTACGCATTCGAGCAGAGAGGACTCTAAACGCGAATATAAATTTTAAATTTAGTACTAATTGAACTGGTGGTATTATAAGTACTTACTGATATGTAATTTGCAGCAATTGAATCAGGAGCAGTTTTTGGTTGAAGGTAACCATTAATATTCTCCGGTAATTCCAAGATTTTTTTATGTTGATTCAGTAACTCGTCATCAAAGATCATAGTTCTTATATGGTCATCTATGTCTGAAACAGGCACAACTTTGGAGAATTTTTTATTTTTTTCTGGGGTTGACTGGATTTCTCGCATTGGAAGAGGTGGCGGTAAGACAGGTGAAGATGCTCTAGTTGGCGGCTTGTCTATGATGGGTATTTCAGAATATTCCGGTTCGCCAAGTTTCTTTTCGGTGGTACATTCAGACACTCGCTTCCAAACTAAACCTCCAGTAATAATAATAACAATTGCAACACTCAAAATCAACCACCAGAAATTAAAGCCGGCAGTATTTGATCTGCCGTTATCGTTGTCACGCGCTACCTGGTACAAAGTATGCGACATTTGACCATTAAATTCGTTTACTATTAGTATGTTTAATTCATAAGTTTCTGTTTTAAAATTATAATCTGGTGCTTCCTTGAAGGTGACGTGTGTTTCTGTTTCTTCAATCACTTTGTATTGAACTTGTTCATAGTGGCCGATAATCTGGCAACTCTTATAATCTTGAATTGGTATGACTGCATCCAGTTTAAATCCCTTACCAGTTTTACAATTTCTTTCATTGCTATACACACGAGTTATTAGAATAATATACAAATTGCTATTTAACTCAGCATTTTCGATTGATGGAATATAAATACTCAAAGTGTTATTGTCAATATCTCTCGTTTCTGGTTCGGATTTAAACGCAGCCTTAAAGACTGGGCACGAAAACGTATTAGATAATGGGCTAGATTCAAATTTTGAGTTAATTGTTTGCACACTAACAGCTGCGTGATGGTTTTTAGGTTTGCATTGGAAATAAGTCTGCAAATGGTAATTGTGTATATGGAATATTTCAATGAGTTAATTGTGACTTACTTTTACTGTGTATGTAAAATTTTCCGACACCTGATGTTTAAAGCGTTGTCCTCTAATATTTACATCAAATCTTACAAATGGACCGTTTGTTTTGTTCGGATGTTGCCATTGCAAGTGAAGGAAATGCGATTCATTCCAAATTGCTTGAAGGTTTAATGGTGGTTGGGGTGCTAAAACATAGACAATCATTATCAAATATAAGAGTGCGTATAGATATTAGTTACCACTAATACTTGTATATCCACTGAATTCAATTGGCTGACCCTCACCAGAAACATTCTTATTGCGTGCATAAATAGATATATCGTATTTAAAGTGTCTATCAAGATTGTACAAAGTAGTACAATACATGTTGGTCCATATTTTACATGGACGAATTGAATTGAATTGAGCTTCTTTAGATGACCTCCAACCGATCCAATGCTTATATTCATATTCTATTAAAAATGTATCTAGTACCCCAGTTGGGGGATACGGTGCACTCCATCTTATCGATAAAGTATTCTCTGTTGAACTATATACTTCCGCAAATTGAACCGGATTCGGAGCTGAAAGTATTGTACAAAGTTGGGGATGAAAACATAACTGCAATACCATTCATACCACAAGCCCGTGTCATGACATCAGCAGATCTTAATTTAAGATGATCATTCTTAGAGTCGAAAAACAAATACATTTCAATATAGTAATTTGTGTATGGATGCAGGTTTTGAACTGTTGCATTCATATCGTTATATTTTATCAACTTAGAACCATTTGTCACTTTTCCATCACACCACTCGCTTTTGCAGGTTGCAGTTATATATAGAGAAACAGGACCATTCCAATTAATACAGTCAATAACCAGTGATATTGTTACAGCGTTCTCGGCAGGATACACATTGTACTTGTATGCTTTCAGTTCAATTCCATCTTTCGCTTCAGTTTGTCCGATAATATTTGCAAGGTGACCTCTTCCTTTTTTAGTAAATGCATAAATTGAAATGTGATATTCTGAATAAAATTGTAGATTACATAATTTTATTCTTGGTTCTGTCACATTTCTAGATTGAATATCCTGTGATTTATTATCGATTGAACAATCCCTTTTGTCCATAAACTAAAGTTTTAATTTGTTAAATAAAGAAATTGAGATAATAATTTCAAAACCCACCTTCCATTCTACGAGATAATTGGTGATAATGCCAACAACTGGAAATGGTTCATCCCATATTAATGTTAGTGTATTTGATGATTTTGACTCTCTCTTGATATTTTTAACAGCATTTGGAACTAGAACAACAATTAATACAAAATTAAAATTTTATAGTATAATATTAATATACGCACTAGATTCGTCCGTAGTAAATGAAATGTTATTCGTTATTCTGTTGTTTCTCGTCAGTTGCAGTGAATAATTTGTGAACAGGTTTAATGCATTGCAATATATATTTACATCTAATGATCCTGAGCGTATCTCTTTGTTTCTGGATGTTTCAATCAACGACCAACGATATTGGCTTAAGTCACACTGAATTTCAGAATTGTAATCAGTGACTGTAACAGTGGTGAGTACAGGAACACTTTTAATTATAATTTGATCCTGTGAAATTTCTGAAAATGCGATTATTTTATTTGTTTATAATTTCAATTTATTAAGTTACCTTCACATTTTGTCTCAAATTCAAATGTTTTGATATTTTTTCCATAACATTCCCGTTTGTTATTATTGACACAAAGTACTATTTGATAAGTATATTTGTGGTCTTTTAATAGATTTGTGAATTTAATAATATGGCTTTTAATTGATGTCACTTCTCCTTCTGTTCTTATTCTATTCGGATGTGTTAATTGTGTATAATAATATTTTGGTTGTTGAACACCATCATAATTTAGATTATTGTCAAAAATTGTTATTGCACAATCCGAGATACATTCAGTTTGAATTCCTGCAATGTCATTTAAAACTGGCAAATCTCTTTGTTTGCAATTTGGTCCAATATAATTGTCTTTGCATCCGTTGGGGCACTCTCCAGATATAGTATTACAATTGGTCGAATATTTGCATTCTCCACATTTAGATTCACAATTGAATCCATAAGTTCCCGGGTTACAGGCTGCAACATATTGTTCTAGATGTATTAGAAATGATGGGAAATACATTTTGTTTACCACTTTCACAATAAATTCCATTGAATCCCATTGAGCAATAACAGAATTTTTCATTGCATATTATTCGGTGTTTGCAAACTGTATTATTATAAAAAGTAGTACATAAAGAGTTCTGTTTCTCAGTGTCGCTACGGTTACTTGCTTGCCTCAATGCAAGTTGTGCGCTTTTTTCTCGAAGAGATGTACACTTAGTTTTGTACGGCAAACCATCGAATGACAATATTGATGAATGGAAGTGATTACGTTTATTTATTCTGCAATTTACATGATATATTACGTTTCGAATTGCTATGATATTTTCTTCATCCACATATATACGCAATATGTATGTATTGTTTTCTACTTCTGAACTATTGAATGTCTTGTAATTCCATTGCAGGTTTTTATCACCCTCATAATTGAAAGTTTTAATTTGCTTAGGTATGTCATTGTCACTATAGCCATATAGTGATATAGTCGTTTCTTTCTCAAAGTTGGCAAAGAACGAAATGAATAGTTGACCAGAACTTACATGAAACCAATTGCTATCTATATACCCATTTTGAATATTTCGAGCTTCTTGGTATAAATCTAAAATAATACATTTAGTTTAAGCATTTTAATCACTAATTGTGATTTTATACAATTATGATATTTCCATAAAGCGGTCTCGTTATATGAGTGAATGAACAATCTTGAATACTGATTAAATTCGCAGTTATTCGCTGCAATGTATAACATTAATGAATTGTCATCAACAATCACTAGCAATTGTTTATTAGAATATCTTATTGATATGTGGCTCCAATTGTCTTCTGAGAAGAGTGACCCATGTACTTTCTAAAAATATTTTGGTATAAATTTGGCCATATGTAAATTACAACGTTAATACTTTCTCAACAACATTTTCACATCCATCCAATTTATCAGTTGAGATAATTGGTGATGTACCATTTTTGCATCGTCTTAAAATACTCCCCTTTCCTTCCCAACCGCCTAAAATAAAAGTGAAGCAAGCACTTTTTTGCACTTGCGTACCTGTGCACATATAAATTTGTGCATTTGATTTTCCCAAAAATGAAAAATTTAATTCAAATTGGTTAAATATTTTTATTGGGTCTAGTTTTTCAAAATTGTATTTGTTTTTTCTTGGTTCGGCTCCATGTGTTTTAATAATTGGGAATGCTATGTAAATATTAAAAATTAATTCTATATAAAATAGTATTAACTGAAAGAGTATTACTTTCCCATGAGTAATCCATGATTGGCCCAAACATTCCTTTATAGGCAAAATCAGAAGCCCATCCGGCCTTATCCCAATTAAAGTCAATAGAACTTAAATCATTGTCTACAAATTTACATTTATTTTTTTACGTCAAATAATTCAAATGATTAAATACCTAACATTGCCAAAATGTTATTGTTCTGTGGTGATGTGATCCATGCAATGGCGTCATTGTAATTATCATTGAAACACTCTGCTTCTACCCTTGCATTTCGTCCAGTTCCAGTTACATTTGCAAACAGTAATTGTGTCTTCCCTAATACTTGGTAAAATCCTTGAGAAACAAAAATCAGCAAAAACAACGCCCACATTTTGCAAACTGTACACCATTTATGCAACTCAAAAATACTTTAAGAGTTGCATCGATGTTCTTATCTTATCACACTTTTCAGTCTGTTTTGAATCGAAAAGTTAAAATTTAGAAGCAAACATTTGAAATATTATTGCTACTACTTTCAGCTAATCTCACCTATGATCGTGGCAAATCGTATTTATGTAATAATTTTTATGAAGATGAGTTATTGATATTTAATATCACATGGATTGAAAGACGAATGGCAACAGATTACGCTGTGCCAACAAATGTATCAAAAATTTGTTGATTTAAGAATGTTTCACATTAACAATGGACATGTTTTCAAAATTTATAACAAACCAATTTGTAAATTATGTTTATCACATTTATTATATTTATCGTGTGTAAAAATACAAAGTACTTTTATTTAATTAGTTTTTATAAAGCATACAATTACCATATTTATATGTTTATAAACATTTTAGACAAAATTTCCAAAAAAAACCTAACGCAATGTGTTGCTTAAAGTCTACTTTAATATACGTCAGACTTATGGAATGTGCTAAATTCAATAAAGTAATGAATAATGGAGCAACAATGGTTCATGCCACATATATGCGTTATGAATAATTTAGTACCTGCATCATTACGAAACTACATTGATAACTCTTTCTAGTGCAGAGCATATCAGCATGCAATGAACTACAAAATAAAATTAATCTCGTTCCAGTAGTATTAATTTATACTAAAGCGTCACTTTTTTTCATAGTTTTAAGACACAAAAAGTTGTAATATAATCACGAACAACCAAAACCGTGACTAATGTACTTTAGTCACGGGGTGGAGCTTGCGTCTGCGCATTTGCCTTAGGCGCAATACAAGGTTATATGAAATGACATACGCCGTCAGTCAAGCAAAGCGCATGCGCTGATGCTGCTGCTCATGTCGACGCGGCGAGTGCGTGCGCGAACTCCCATGTACTTATATCCTTACATTTTCCAGTAGGGTGCAAACATATTTCGAAGTTTTCAAATAAAATGTTCAAATTATAAACTAAATGTGAAAGTTCAGTGGAAGTAAAAAAAATATCGAAAGCATCACATCGCTAAACGTGGCTAAAGTGCTACTTCGCGCACTTGATTCTTAATATACTCTTAAATAATGGCATAATAAAAAACGGGTTGTAGCAATATTAAAATCAAATGTACATAAATACAAATACAAATTATCACTTTTTGATAACATGTGTAACCGCAGCACCACATTTTATGTTTCTTAAAATTCGCAGCACGAATATCATTACCATGATGAAATTTGTCCGCGCGTAATTTTAAGCCAGCGTCAATTAAACCGGAGGTGAATAACCATCAAGTTAAAGTGATGAAGTATTCGTGATAAGGAAGTGAGCGTGCAGTGCGTACAGCGCCAAACTTATATTTATCCGAATTAGTGACAAAAACGTTCCAAAAAAGAAGCAGCGCTACTTGCGGATGTCACGTGTGCGCCGTTCTGGAGCCGCCGCCGCTGAAGAGATGGAGATGCGCGCGGAGGCACTTGGCGGACGCCATAGTAAGTATGCGCGTGCGGCTGCTAGGCTTTATTGGAGTAAATTGAGTAACATGATATATTCGGCGAGTGGTGGGGGCACGTCGCGCTTAGCAGTCGCTGCTAAGCGCTGCGTATTCGCTTCAGTTGCCTTCTTCGCGTCGCTCCCAGCTCCCGGCTTGATTCCAGACGCAGCAAAATCATAAAAGTCACATTTTGAAACTTTCACGATGAGGGAAATTGTGCATCTGCAGGCTGGACAATGTGGTAATCAAGTTGGTGCCAAGGTAAGTCACAAAAATTAAAAATTTTTAAATCTCGTTTTTTCCGTTGAAAAATTCTATAAATAACTTAATCTATTAACCAGAAGCAGAAAAATAAACACTGCTATTCATCGTGTCATCCGATCCGGATATTTTTTATCTCTTCGTTGTGAGTTCAGTGGATTACGACGGAGGTCGTTGAATAGATAATTATCTCGTTCTTAAAGCCGCATAATACACTCGTTGTGCATTCATAAATAACGCTAAACTACAAAGCTTTCTATTAGTACCTCCTAATTGGTGGTAAATTTAAACATCCAACCATTTCGAGAATAATACGCGCGTCGTTTTTATCCGCAGCGGAAACTGTTCTTCGAGACGCTTGAACCTCTCCGATTTTAAGCTATTTTAAAAACACGCACTTACTTAGGGGTAATTCTAAATATTTTAAGCCGCGCTCGCTTCTTGCAGTGCTTATTTTTGACGCCGAATATAGACGCACAAGATGTAGTATATTCTTGGTGCGCGGCGTTTCAGTTGCAAGCGTTTGAAAAGATGCTGGACGGACGCAAACTATGCGCCAGCGAACGCCGAAGATAATTTTGTTTCGCCGCTCTTGAGAGATATAAATATACATCACATACCGCATGTCTTCTTCTTTTATTTCATCGCCAGCGAATGCACAGCACAGGGATTCATCATTCAACAATGTAATTAGGGGAATGTACGAAATTCCAAAATAAATTTAGATTGGGGAAAAACATGTCTGTGCTGTGGAATCACAAGATATATTTTAATTTTTTCTGTGTAACATCAAAAATAATTTAATTTCTAGTAATTATGAGTTAGAATATTTTTTCAAAGACATGACATCGATGGTAACATTTGAAATATTGTTGTAATTATGATCCCAACATCCCTACAAATTGCAATGCAAATCTCTATAACGTAAGCACGATTTTCAGCTAATTTTTTGGGGTGCACAAGCAGTTACTAGAAAATCATTTAAACATAGCACAAGTGAATACAACTGAGCGACGCGGAATTAATATTTAGACTTCAGGAAATATTTATCGGCATTTTTATAAGAGTAATTAAGTTTATAATCAGTTTACAAATAATTAAACAGATGACAATTTGCGTAAAATCTTAATATTTGGTTATATATTTGTTTCTCGATGAAATGTCATTTTTTAAGCCTCGCTATAAAGAGGGTACGCTGCATTTTGCAGTAATTCTGGCAGTAAAACTTGATAAAAGTTTTTACCTATGAGAAAATAATGAAATAGTAAAATTTTCATAATTTCTTCAAAAGATACATTAGATTTTGTACAAAAAATAAAATTTACAAAAGAAAACACATTTTTCTTGGTTTTTTATGCATTTTGTAGTCAAAATTCATTTCAATATCTCGAAAAATCCGAAATTTCATAGAAAATCGACGAAATTACAAGAAATATGCCCAATCCACGTCGAATCTTAATATTTAGTTATATTTTTTTAAATTTTATATATTTCCTAGTAAACTTTGGTTGAGCGCTCATTCGTTACCATCAAAACGCCAAAAACATGTCTTCAATTTTATAATTCAACGCAATTAACTCAATAATAATAGCAGCAATTATAATTTCTAGGAATGTTTATATCTATGCAAAATTACCAGATCCGTACCGTTGACTCCTCCGGCTCAATTATAAAAATAACGATATAATAGCGTAAAATTTTAATTGCTGAGTATTAATTTAATCACTGAATCACTCCTTGTTTCACGAATTAATATAAATACGCTTTAAGTGGCACTAATTTAAATTTGGTGTTAACTCGTGTCAATTCCACAGTTTTGGGAAGTCATCTCCGAGGAGCACGGCATCGATCCGAGCGGAATGTACATGGGTCAAAGCGATCTGCAATTGGAGCGCATCAATGTCTACTACAATGAAGCCTCAGGTAATTGCTCGTTAATTACACAAATTAATACGAATTTTGCACATCGTTAATTTTCTGATTTTATTTCATCGCGTACAGTTAGAATTCCATTTCTAATTCATATCTGGGTTTACGGTTGAATATGTGCAAACATCCTACCCAGTTATTACTAATAACTAGATCAGAAATAAACCATGCATAGTGGTTCCATTGGAAATGCCTTGACTGTTAAATCATGGTATGAGTAACAAACACATTATGAGTATGAGTAACACTGCATACTGATAAGATGCATTTTTGGTAGCGATTTCCTGTTGAGTGACAAATGCACTTGAATTTTAATTAAATATTTTTTTATTTTTAGTTGCTTCGCAGCACAGTGGAGGAAAATACGTCCCTCGTGCCATTTTATTGGACCTTGAACCCGGGACCATGGACGCCGTGCGTTCTGGTACCTACGGAAGACTTTTCCGTCCGGATAACTTCGTTTTCGGCCAATCAGGCGCTGGTAACAACTGGGCCAAAGGCCATTACACCGAAGGAGCTGAATTAGTCGATGCGGTACTTGATGTTGTCCGCAAGGAAGCAGAAAACTGCGATTGTCTCCAAGGTTTCCAACTTACCCACTCCCTGGGTGGGGGTACCGGTTCCGGAATGGGTACCTTATTGATTTCTAAAATCCGTGAGGAATACCCCGATAGGATTATGAACACCTATTCAGTAATGCCGAGTCCAAAGGTGTCTGACACTGTCGTGGAACCCTATAATGCTACACTCTCAGTGCATCAACTCGTCGAGAACACCGACGAGACCTACTGCATTGATAACGAGGCGTTGTACGATATCTGCTTCCGCACGTTGAAGGTCCCCAACCCTAGCTATGGCGACCTCAACCATTTGGTATCGCTGACCATGTCCGGTGTGACGACCTGCCTCCGCTTCCCGGGCCAGCTCAACGCTGACCTTCGCAAACTCGCTGTTAATATGGTCCCATTCCCGCGGCTGCACTTTTTCATGCCTGGGTTTGCTCCGTTGACATCTCGTGGCAGTCAACAGTATCGTGCGCTTACTGTACCAGAGCTTACACAGCAAATGTTTGATGCTAAGAATATGATGGCGGCGTGTGATCCGCGACACGGGCGCTATCTGACGGTAGCGGCTGTATTCAGAGGACGTATGTCAATGAAGGAAGTTGATGAACAGATGTTGGCTGTTCAGAATAAAAACAGCAGTTATTTTGTTGAATGGATCCCGAATAACGTCAAGACTGCTGTGTGTGACATCCCGCCTGTGGGTTTGAAGATGTCTTCGACTTTCATTGGTAACACCACAGCAATTCAGGAGTTATTCAAGCGAATTTCCGAACAATTCGCCGCCATGTTTAGACGTAAAGCTTTCTTGCATTGGTACACTGGTGAAGGCATGGATGAAATGGAATTCACCGAGGCTGAGTCCAACATGAATGATTTAGTTTCTGAATATCAGCAGTACCAAGAGGCCACTGCTGATGAAGAGTACGAGGCTGAAGAGGAACCCGCCGCTGATGATTTTAACTGTTAGATTTACTATTCGAAAATATGTCGTTTAAACCATTTTATAGAGTGTCATGGACTAGTCTATTATCATCACTGTCTCACTTATTAATTTGTAGTTTCATTTTTTTAATCTCTGCCAAAGCATGTCTTATTTATTTGATTTTATTCTTAGTTGTATGTGTTATTTTAAGCCTTTGGTTTTTTGTGTCTAGTTTTTTATGTGTCAGTAATTATCATTATTATTTTACGCATTTAGAATATTTTTAAACGTTTTCAAACATTTTTGTATCGTTCAGAACTTAGACTGATTTTTCTACGTTACTTTTGCGGACAAGATTTATTGTGTACGTTGTACGATAAACTTGATTATTGAGTTTGTGTCAACAATAAATTTTGATAAAATTATATATCACTATTTACTACATTATTTATTCAAGTATCAGGTGAGTGGAAATGTTGTTAATTCATTATTATAGCCATAATGGTTTCGTTATCTTGTTTACTTCCGGTTCAGCCATTTAAATTTAGGCAATTTTGACAACAACTCCTGAATATCGGTAAATGCTTTGATTTCTTGTATATTTCAAGTAAAATATTTGTTTTTCGTGCTGTAACATGCCTACGAATATAAAAAATATATGTTGACATGGTTAAAATCATGTTTACCTGTTTTATGATAAAACACAATACAATATCAACAATAATATCACTTTTAAACTCTGATACGTTATTTAATTCTAGTTTTAAGCCTGCTATCGCCACCTGCCGCGCATAAACACAGACTAAACCTATAACTGCCTTGTGAACCTGCAGATGGCGCGACATGTACAAAACCGAATAAAATCTTCGCATTTCAACTTAAAAATAAAACGTAAACTTTAAATAAAAACTTAAAATATATCCTACATCTGCGCAAGTTTATATAATCCACCATAAACCGTCCATTCTTTTGTTAAACGTAATAAATGTTACTCTAGATTAGAGTAAATTGAAGTGAAATTTTTTTCAAAACTTTAATTTCTGCAAAGTTATTGTTGACGCACTTAAAGTGATCATAACTGACAAACAAAGACAATCATTATTATGCAGTAAAGAGTAATTATCATTGTTAATAATTCACGTATACTTCAAACAAGTTTTCCACATTTAGAAATGTAGGATCCTGAATCAAATCGATAACAATTACGCTTAGTCACTTGACTCTTTGTTATTTCTTCGACTGCATACGCTTCCTTATAGAAATCCAGCGCGTGGTTGACATTAATCCTTCAACATCTCCGTTTTAATACATTGTATCTCGCAGAAGACAATAAATCATAAATTAACGCACTTGGCGGAAGTGAAAAGTAAAACTTGAGAGAAAAATAACTGTGATAAACGTCATAGCGGTCACAATGGTTGACACGAATGCATCATCGGCGTGCAGTTGCGCGAAGAAAACGGCCTTGGCCTTGTGATTTGCACTTGCGAGCGCACACAAGCTGCAAGATCGAAGAGTGCGGCTGGTGGCGCTTTCGTTTCCGCATTTCACGTTAGAAAAACATTACTCAACTGTATCGCCAATACTATCATTCACAATCACCGCCGCACACGCATTCATGAAAGTAGAAATAGTACGAATGCTAGTAAATAGTAAGAAATGCACAAGCAAACCTGTTATACGCGGCATTCACGCCACAATTAAACAATACAAAAACATTTATCAATAGTTATTGACATTTAAATGAATATACAGTTAAAACATTTAGAAAAACTTTCATTTTGATTTGTATGTTTGGTTATCTATTGTATTCAATTGATACAAATTGAATTTCGGTGTTTTTTGCTTGATATTTTGATTTATTTTGGGTAAGTACTCATTGTTATAGTTGTACACCAAATTTAGTTGGTGTATGTGTAGAAGAAAAGCGGTGAGACATTGAAACTCAAAGGGAAAGTGGCGCCGAAAAAATGGAAAGTTACGCACCGCTCGCGACCGGTTCGGACCGTTTTGAGTGCGTATCAGCCAAAAGTGTTGTTCGCGGTCCGGTTGGAAATGGAGAGTGATTCACGGAAAGAGCATGTTTTCTATATCAGCCCGCATGCACAGTTATATGCGGAGATATACACACACATAAATGTGAGGTAAAGTGTGTCAAAGAGTCAAAGATGGCCAATTTATGCGGATTTGAACGAATGCGCATCAGCGAGGATACGGTGAATGGAAGAGTTGGAAGACATTGCGTTTGGTTATGAAATATTATCTAATCTGACCTAAAATTGATTTTGAATTTGAGTAGGTTGATGGGATAGGTTTTAGTTACAGGTGGTAAGTACATAGAGATTAAAATAGTGTTTTAATGCCTAGAGAATTAAATAATTGTTATATTAAAAAGTTATTCAAAATTTGTAGAAATGCAATTTTATTTGGGATTTTTCTTTGTGGATACTCTTCTATTTAAAAAAAAAACAGTTCTCACAAATTTTTGCCATATTTCCATAAAATTTTCAAGTTTTTAATACAAAATCTTAATTTCCGTATCGAAAAATATCGAAAAAAAAAACTCAATTTCTCAACTTACAGTAGTATAAGAAAAAACCCGAAAATCAAACTTTAAACCCCAAAATATTGTAGAATTTATCCTGCAACACCCTGTATACACTTATATTAAGTTATCGATAGTTGATCTTTCAAAATATCCAAAAATATCTATGAAATTCACAGATGATTCTGATATGTGTGAAATTATCGCGAGGTAATCTTTGATTTGCTTAGATCGGCATCAATAACGATTATGTATTAACTTTCCGCATCATCATTGTTGAACAAATCGAACATGTTGATTCGTGCACGCGAATGTTTGTAGTTAGTAGTTTGTACAAATGTTTGTTGTATAATTAATTATTATATTGAACGTTGATTTGAACAAATCAGCAGTTTGCAGTTTGCAGTTGGCCGCCCGCTCGCACGGTTACCGAAAGTGTCCAGTAAACAAATATCGATGGGTGCTCGCGCCTGCAGACGCACCAAAAGTGTCGAAATAGGAATAACATTCGCGACAATTTGCTTACCCACCCATAGCCACTATAGCCGCACACGGGACAATCATGCTCCACTTTTGGATTTGTTTAAGAAATCACATTTAAAAAAAACATTTTATTTTTATTTAAGATTTATTTATTGCTTTACTGAGATCAGATGTATTTAAAAATTAGTGTAAAATTTAAACAACAGAAAATTAATCTAGGATGTTGTTATATATTATATTGAATGTTCCCTTCAAGTTAAATTTTAGCGACAAAAAGTAGCCTATGTTATTCTCCTGGGTCCAAACTATCTCCAAACCAAAATTTATCAAAATTGGTTTAGTAGTTTTTGAATAATTGCGACACAAACATACAGACAAACAAAATTACATTTGCATTTTTAATATTAATAAGGATTGGTAATAGAAGAAGAAGAAGAAAAAGTAAAGCATTTTTAATTTTTGTTTAAATGCAGTCTGGATGCGTCTGAAACTGTTTGTGTATTTTGGGAGGTCCAATAAAACCCACCAGACTGACGTTGGCGTTGCCAACTAACAAATGGAAGGACCTTGATGTCATATTTACACGAAATTATCAAAATTAATTATAAACATAGGACGTCTACGATGTGATAAGCCAAAAAATGTACCGATGCACGTTCATCACGCTTCTTACTTGTATTAGTATATACATCTAAATAGACGTATGGAATATAACCTTAAAAATGTGCTGATAAACGAAAAACGTAAGTGATTTTCAAGGACCGCACTTTAAACTCTTTCCATTAATTGAAAATCGTATCGCATGATGAAATTGCATCCGGGAATTTAGTCATAAATAAGAATTTAATAAATCATCATCAAGGGTACACCCAGTATTAGCGTTATCATAATTAGCGTGTTAGTTTTGGCCGAGCTTCATTTTTGCACAAATTGCTGATAACTTTTTGCACTTTAGCATCTGTAGGGGGTCTCGAGGAAGTTTTTCTAATATCGCCACGAAATATCATTAATAATTTAATCAAAAACAAATTCTCTAGGTTTAATTTAAATCTAACCTAGAATTTATTCTATTTTTGAGTATATGCAACAAAATGTACAAAATTAGGTTAAAATGGTCGGAAGCAGATAAAATATTCAGTAAATAGAATCAGTAAATACAATATTTGGGTAGAAATTGTTGGTTATGTCAGTCAAAAATTAAATTTTTGTTTGAAACTTTTATTTTTAGTTAATGTTGAGTCAATAATACTAAAAATTTTACGTTTTTGTAAAGAATGAATTAAAATAAAAGGCAATTTAAGAAAAATGTCATCGAATGACTAGTGACTTGCATTTTTTCACACTAGATGGAGTCTTGATGAAAAAAATGACGTCACTGTTAAGTATTTTTCTAAATTTTTCTTAATTTTGCAAATTTTTAGTAAAAATTAAAAAAAATTAAAAATTTCTTAAAATAACTTAAAAAATCAATAAATTCTAACAAAATTTATTGTTTGGTGCATATAAATAAAATTTTGAATTGTGCTCAATTAAACTGAGATTAAACTCTCAGTCACAACATCAAAAATAGTTTCAAAGGATTGCATTCTCGGCCGCTGGTGCGGCGGTTCGACGGAAACAGACTTTCCGATATGTAGGATGTACGAATGTACGAATAACATCGGAAAAATAATGTTAAAAATAAGGAAATGGGTCACCGCGTGCGCTCCAAGCCCCAAGAGAGTGCAGTTCCCAAAAAACACACATGTGTTTAATATTGTGCGTGCACGCAGAAGCGTTTATAATTAGCACAAAGTCGCACGCTGTTTAAAAACTTTCGAAAACTAAACGTGCGATTCTCCACCGCATCAAAAATCATATCACGTTATCACTCCATCAATAAATTAACAGAAACAATCACACGCAAAGCGGGAATCTGCTGAATCATTTCGACTAAACTTGACTTATTGACTTAATATCACACCAATGATAACATATTAAATGCGAGTAAATCTAGGTGGCGCAGTAGTTGAATAAAATTATATAATTTTATTTTTTCTTGATAAAAATCTTAAAGAAATAAATTATTAAAGAGATGAAGAGTTTGAACTAGTGCGACATAATGACACGAAAACAATGCGCGGCAATTAAGCGGCAATGTTAATTTCCTCGATCGGCGCGCTCGTGATTCAGTGCGAACGAGCCGTCTGTGGCGTACTTGTTGTGTGTCTGTCAATGTGATGCAACATCTCTCTAGCTGTGTAGCGACTAAGGAGCACGCGACCCAATTCGCGCCGCGCGCGGTTTCTAGGCTCGAGCGAGCGCCCCGGCTCCGACGGCGGTTTCTCCGCCGCACTCTGCGCGCCGTTGCAAAACGCCCGCCGAAGAGTACGTGCTCGGTGCGCTCGCGCTCTCGGT